GACGAAAATGTATTACAGTCGACCCCCCTATAACACTGTTGATTATTCCGTTTTATACGAATTCCATGTTGTACAAGTTATTTCAATTTTACAAATACATGTGCCAAGATAGTCGACCCCCCTATAACACTGTTGATTATTCCGTTTTATACGAATTCCATGTTGTACGAGTCACTTAGATTTTACAAATACGTGTGCAGGGCTGTGAACGGCTCACGTAGCTGTAAAATCTATGTGACTCGTACAACGTGGAATTCATATAAAACGGAATAATCAANTGTAAAAATGGCGGAAAATCTTCGATGATCCTTTTCACGTCTTTTTTTCTTCCCTTTGTAAAAATATCTAGGAGTATTTAGGTGAATTTTAAATAAAAGATTATTTTCTATTTTTATATCTATTTAATTTATTAACTTATGTTGTTATCTATTCCTATACTTATTTGTATGCCTATAACACTGTTGATTATTCCGTTTTATACGAATTCCATGTTGTACGAGTCACTTAGATTTTACAAATACGTGTGCAGGGCTGTGAACGGCTCACGTAGCTGTAAAATCTATGTGACTCGTACAACGTGGAATTCATATAAAACGGAATAATCAACAGTGTTATAAGGGGGAGTCGACTGTATTTCAGTATTAAAGTATAAATAAGTAATTTTAAAAGAAGTATTACTTAAATAAATTATGTAATCGAAGAGAATAAATTAATAATTTTTTGGCAAAGATTAGATGGAATTTAATATCATATTTTCAGGTCAAAATGTCAAAACCGCGCATTGATGGTGGTGGATAGATAATCCATCAATTTTTTTCCTACAGAAAATGAAACAAAGATATTTAGGTTACTTTCACCACACAATGGGAGAGATCGGTTAAGAGACAATTAGTATTCATATCCCATTTGCCCAATTTTCTTCTCCTATAAGAAAATATATCATCTTATACTTCACTTCATTAGTTTTTCTATGATAGATTACTCAAGAATTCTTACATAATATATCTTTCAGTATATTTATACATTGATTAAAATGATAGTTTTATCAGTTATTTTCCATCAAATAAGTTAATTATGTTTACATGTCATAATAATAATAATATATATTTACAAGTTTGTGTATATAAAGCACAATACAATAAAAATATATCTATGTTTAGACTTTATTACAATAGTTTCTTTACAAGTAATATCCAATATAATTTATACATTGTAAGGTTTGATGTGTAAATAATAGAACAAAAAAAAAAAAACTGTATAAAAATGAAATCATTTATAATAAAGACTCGTACAGAACTGTAAGATATTTTTAAAGAATGGTGATAATTTTTAAAGTTAACAAAAGAATATTTAAATGGTGAGGTTTTCCTGATACGCGGAACTTGTATTATTACAATAATGATAATTTGAAATCCCGTTCCAGCTGGTAAGATACGCTAAGACATTTCCTGATAAGGAAAGTTATTTTTCCGAAAAATTGAACATCTGTTCGTGTTTACGGGTTAATAACTCGACTATAAAATATGCAATTTATATCTTTTGTTATTACATTAACATATTCTAGTTTATTTTAATTATTTTAGTATAACATGTGGAGTTTCAAAAAAAGCCTGAATTAAATACAGAATATCAAAATTAATTAGGAAAATTTCGGTTTTTATTAATTATATATGAATCATAACTTGAAATTTTAAATAAAAATTTATATATTAGGTCAGTTAAACCAGTGTCGGGACACCTGCCACGTCTCATCTACAAATATTGTATTATCTATCATCTTATGATCCACTTTAGTGGTTTTCGAATATTAAGAATTTAATAGTATTTAATTTATCATTAACCTTAGTAAAATTCTCATCTTTTGAAGTAATTAANAGTTTCAAAAAAAGCCTGAATTAAATACAGAATATCAAAATTAATTAGGAAAATTTCGGTTTTTATTAATTATATATGAATCATAACTTGAAATTTTAAATAAAAATTTATATATTAGGTCAGTTAAACCAGTGTCGGGACACCTGCCACTTGTTGTAACGATGTAACGAGTTCTCATCTCAATGGCAATACGATGGTCCACCCTGTTAGTTAAATTATTATACTTTTTAATTCTGAAAAGGCCTCAATTTAAAGGCTGTATTAGTCAATCAAGCTATAGAACGTGATTCAAATGATATATCGCGGTTACAAAAGTTATTATTATTCTTTCTTGGTCACATGAATCATCTCACTTTATATCAGGATAATTTTCTTTAGAAATTTATTTATATACTTTAAGGGAATACCGACGTTTTACCCAGTATAATAAATGAGAACAATATAAAACAAGTATATTTTTAAAAATATAGCGTCTAACGTCGAAACGTATAATTATTATAACTCGCATTTTTTTTTCTTTTTTTACTGCAATACTCTCTTTTTTTTCTAAATTTCATTTAATATGTGATTAGTTTTTATAATATAATTTACAAAATTATGTTTTAAGGTCATAATATTTAGAAAATATTTAAAACTGAATTGAAATTACGATTTTATATGAGATGTCGAATGGTAATTAAACCATTAAATTTTAAAGTTAATTCTCGAATTTTGTTATAATTTTAGATTTAAATTAACAATTCTATACTTATTCATTTAGCTTTCAAGCATACGAGGTAAGTTGTTTAAAATTGCCAATTAAATTAATTAAAATTAAAATTAAAATACTATTTTAATGTATGGAAGAAAGATTCATCTGTTAATCATCCTATTGTGTTCTTTATAAATCGTGCATACGTCTAGACGTTCATCAAAATGGGTTAATGTACTATATTGACATTTATAATTTTTTTAAGCATCTTTCATAAAAGCTTAATACCTAAATCAAATAAAGATAACACCCCTTAGGTATTAAATTAAATATCCGCTCACCGTAATATTTTACTTACGTAACTCATCTGGATGACCCTAAATAGCTGAGAAAACAGCCCAATTCATTGTTATAGAAAAGAAAAGTCAGACTACTAGTCTATTAGTTTAGAGACAAGAATGATAATCGAGTAAAATTCGTTCTGTTTCCTCAGGCTAATTTTTGTTTTTTTTTTTTTTATAACTTGATTCAAATGGGTTAGCATATCTTGAACGATAAAATTGAGGTCATGACTACAATTTCGCTAAAAAGTGGAGCATTTCCCTCCGAAAGGACCGTGACCTCTCTGTAAAAATGGCGGAAAATCTTCGATGATCCTTTTCACGTCTTTTTTTCTTCCCTTTGTAAAAATATCTAGGAGTATTTAGGTGAATTTTAAATAAAAATTTATATATTAGGTCAGTTAAACCAGTGTCGGGACACCTGCCACTTGTTGTAACGATGTAACGAGTTCTCATCTCAATGGCAATAAGATGGTCCACCCTGTTAGTTAAATTATTATACTTTTTAATTCTGAAAAGGCCTCAATTTAAAGGCTGTATTAGTCAATCAAGCTATAGAACGTGATTCAAATGATATATCGCGGTTACAAAAGTTATTATTATTCTTTCTTGGTCACATGAATCATCTCACTTTATATCAGGATAATTTTCTTTAGAAATTTATTTATATACTTTAAGGGAATACCGACGTTTTACCCAGTATAATAAATGAGAACAATATAAAACAAGTATATTTTTAAAAATATAGCGTCTAACGTCGAAACGTATAATTATTATAACTCGCATTTTTTTTTTCTTTTTTTACTGCAANGTTATAAGAAGTTCAGATAACTCTTCTTTCTTCCTTTTTTGTTTTTCTTTAAAATGGTTTAAAGGGCTATTTTCATACAATATTTAATTATAGATTCTATTTTTTACTCTCATGTAAATTTCACAATTTAAATTTCTAACAACGTGTGCAGGAAGAGTGTATATTTGACCCACTTTCCTTATTAGTGACACCTTAACATAGTTTGATGGTTATTGCCAAGGATACAAACCTTGACTTTTACATTACAATACATTTTAATAAAATCAAAACACTCAACATTTATAAGTAGTTAAATATATATAAAGATTTATTCATTACTTATTATATAAACAACATTGAAAATGTTTTCTTTAATCTAAGATATATAAAAATTAACAGCTCAGAGTGAATGTGTCAATAGGGAAATCATATTTTGAGTTAATAATTATTTTCTTATTTTAGATTTTTTAACGGTTTTATTATTATTATTATTATTATTATTATATTTTTATCTGAAAGATGTGAAGAAGCCATTTTAGACCATTGTTATAAGTGTATGTCGTTTAGTATTATTGCATTTTTTTAACAAATTATTCTCAATTTCTCTTTATCTACGTAAATTATTACATATAAAAAATCATCTTGCGATGTCAGACTTATCTAAAAAAACCATCTGAAAATAATTTTGATTGTCAAAATTTTCCCATTTGAAATATAATATTGGAAGAGAAAGTGCAAGTTGCGCTTGATTTGATTCGTTTTTAAGCATGAATAGGTACGAAAGAGATACTTTATACCGTTTCCTTTACAGAAATCAAGTTTAAATAGTTTAAAATCTCGTTTAAAAAAGTGAAAATAATAGGCAAAAAAAAAATAATAATGAAAGAATATACGATGAATGATAACCCTTAAATCCCTTAAGCAGGAAAAGAGAGTGTAGAACATCAACCTTTCCCCAATCTCTTGTTTCTCATTTTAGCAAGGTCAAATAGTGACCCAGTGAACCCCTACTTTGTCAGAAAATAGGACAGGATTCTCTCAACAGAGAAAGTAGCCCCTCTCTTCAACAAACTAACCAAACGTAAGATTACCTCATTTTGATTTAACGCTCTTGTAGACAGGAGTAAAACGTATTAATGTCTAGTCAATCACCTAAATAAATTATCGAAATGACGTAAGTGGTATTTATTTATTATCAATTTTCCTTAATTATCTTCATATGTCATTAATCTCTAAAGGTAACCTTTATTCTTTATATTAATCGTTTTTTTTTATTTTTCATATTTTTATGATTATTTTTCAGATATTTGCTATTGACGACGGTAATATTAACATTAGGTGAACCCGTTCATTTTCCATCTCCTTTAAATCCAGATTACTCATCAGATTGTGCATTAATAATCAATTCTGGGAAGTATCGTCCTAGTCCCGAGCCTCCAGCTTTACAATATTTTGTAAATTTTTTACCCAGGTGAGACATACAGACGTATTTACCTTAATATATATGCTGTATATAAAAAAAAATAAGATGTCAGGGGTGTAACTTTTGACTCTGGATGCCGTAGCAAACAGTATTTGATATAGAAATGAGGTCGGTAAGGGGCCATTTGGGAGAATTTTCTGACATAATCGTGATCATTAATTTTATAATGTATAGGGGTTTCTGTAAGTTAGGTCGACTTTTTTTTCCTTACATTCTTCTTTGGCATTGTCAAAAATTACGTAATTATTCTTTACATTAATTTACTTATTCGACAAGTTATTTTATGTATTTGCTTTTTCATTAAGATGTATTATAGTCGACCCCCCTATAACACTGTTGATAATTCCGTTTTATATGAATTCCATGTTGTACGAGTCACTTAGATTTTACAAATACGTGAGCCATTCACAGTCCGGCACGTGCGTATTTCTAAAATCTAAGTGACTCGTACAACATGGAATTCATATAAAACGGAATAATCAACAGTGTTATAGGGGGTCGACTGTATTGTATATGTATTATTTTTATTATTGTATGTGTATCATGTATTATTTTTATGTTAATTTGATTAACAGTTTGAAAAGGATATCTAGAGGAAGTTACAGAGAAATCTGTATTACGTATGAAGATATTAATATTGCTGTTGAAAAAGCAAAAAACACCATAGGTAATAGATAAAATTACATACATAACTTAGTTAATCGTAAGAAATAATTACAACTTGTAATATAATTTTGTGTTTAGGTGATGTATCAAGAGAGATATTCGAGTTATCATCAGTTTTACCAGAACCAGAACATATTGCAGTATCTGCAGAAATTGTTCTGGAAGCAACTAAACTCCTAGCTCACAGGTAATCGATAAAATCGGACTTTATATAATTTCTATAGTGTTTTAAGTGTTATTATAACGAAATTTATTTCCTTCGTTAGGTTTGGATTATCTTACGATGTTATCGTTCACGGATTACCTAGAATAGATACGAGTAAAACAGCCATCAAGGATGTATGTCCAACGTTCCTTCGGCCCGTCAAATGCGAATTGAGTAGATATCGTACGTTATCTGGAATGTGTAACAACCTACACAATCCTTCTTGGGGAAGTGCTCGATCCGTATTTATTCGTTATTTACCTCCAGAATATGGTGACGGTGAGTTAATAAAGTAATATATAGAAAACTCTTAAGCATTAGCGATTTCAGATTTTGATCACGTCTGAATGAAAAGTATTACTAGTTATTTAATTTTAATGATGTTAATATGAAACAAGATGACATATCCTAATTGATGATGAATAATGATGAAAGATATTTTATTCTGTTAATAATTTCCAGTCTGAATTGTTTTTATATCAAGTCACTCCACGACTTGATATAATAGAATCAAACAATAAAGTTGTATGTTAGAAAGAAGTTAAAAAACAAAAATTATAAAATCTGTTATTAAAGAAGGGAAGTCGTAGTTTTTACAGTGAATAAGTTACAATACACAAAACATTATTTAAAATGTTAAAGTCTATACTAAACAATAAACAATGAATAAACATTTTTTACCAATGATTTCGATGTTATCGAAACCAAAACGGGCAGAAGCGTCACTGCATGACAGCACGAAATTTTTTGCCTCTCGGTTAAAAATGTAGGAAAGTGCGTATTAAATGCGATTTATAAGTACAAAACTATGCTTCTTGTCTAGCCTTGTATACTTGTGAACACTACGTTGGCCTTTCTTTATTGCTAGACTTATTATATAGTCACTGGACACAAGAATAGCCTTAGAAAATCACTTTTATTTTTCTAAAAAGAATTAATTTCGGACCTTAAGTCCTTCATTAGCTTTTTTAATATAAATATTTATGAAATTTATACTACCACATTTATAAAATGTACAATAAATTCATGAAGTTTGATGACAAATCATTGATTACAGATCAAAGTTTCAGGTGTTTGATTAAAGTGCTAATTCCTAAATGTACAGTGAATCATTTTATTGTTTTAACAGTGAATCAGTTCATTATTTTATTGTTTTAACTGTGAATCAGTTCATTATTTTATTGTTTTAACTGTGAATCAGTTCATTATTTTATTGTTTTAACAGTGTTTTTACTGCTTGTTTTAATTATACTGCTCTAAGCATCGAATCAGCAAGTTAAATCAAACACCTGAAACTTTGATCTGTAATCAATGATTTGTCACCAAACTTCGTGATTTTACTGTACATTTTATAAATGTGGTAGTATCAGTTTCATAAATATTTATATTTAAAAAAGCTAATGAGGGATTTAAGGTCCGAAATGCATTGTTTTTTGAAAAATAAAGCGATTTTCTAAGGCTATTCTTGTGTCCAGTGACGGTGTAATAAGTCTAGCAATAAAGAAACACCAAAGTAGTGCTCACAAGTACTGTATATACAAAAGTATTATGCATGAAGGAGCTAGATTGTCTGAAAGTCGTGGACTGTCTTGTATTGATGACAATGAGACGTTAAGATAAGCTTGACAGACATTTATTTTGTTAAATGTTATTTCTAGATTATTTATAAGCAAAGAGTTGTTAATAAAGAACTGTAAACATAATTATATGATAAATAATTTACATATATTAACTTTTTATTAGTCAGTTTATCAGTAGCAGAGGAGAGATGATGAGATAAAATTCCCCATCATCCCACAACTTATTTTTTTACGCGCTAATTAACCATTAATTACAATTCTGGGCGGAGTAATAAATTGTCCCAACCTTATTAATCTAAAAATACTCAGAAAATTAGGATTTTATTTGTGGACCATTTAATAAATTCTCCCACCCCCTGTCTGGCCAGGTCTCTCGACACCACCGGCTATAATCGTTATTAAATCATTAATTTTATTTATTTTTCGGCAAAATTTATTTTAAAATAATCTACTTACAGCTAGTTGCTACTGTATGTAATATAGGATCAGGATTTAGCATCAGGATTCTAATTCTATATCATTTAATGATATATCAATGATAATATCTTGATACATATCTACTCTACGTTTAAATTTCTTTTTATAGTTACACTGTGCCATACACATTTAAATAAATCAATATTATTATTATTATTATTATTACCATAATGGCAAATTTAAATAAGTACCTGTCAAGAAATCAATTTAACAGATTTATGATTTTAAAGCCTATGTATTTCTTACAGAACTAAACCAGATGTTCCGTTTAAATAAGAAAAAAAAACAATATATATATAGCAGATTTTACTATATTATTGTTGCCTGATATAGGCTAAATAATGCCTGCGAATTCTACAGCTACCGTCATATTTATAAAGCCTTTACTAACAACCTAATTTACTTTTCCTACTTCAAATTTATATGGATTTAGTGCCAAATAATAATAATAATCTTTCTAAAACTTGTTCAAATATTCATAAAAGATTTTTATTATGCATATCTTATAAAATTCAAAATATTATAATTATGCATTTCACGCTTCAAAGCCCGAAAACAATGTAATTGAATAGAGCTGAAAGGATTTAGAAATGTGGAATGACTAGGTTTATGAATAAAGACCTATAAAATAGTTTATACTAGGCCAGTTTTAATAAACTTGTATCATAGATAACTAGCTGCCTTAAATATAACAGATTTAATAATGATAGATATAGTATTATTTAAAATTTCTGAAAGGAAATACTATATAAATACATTAATTCTGATGTACTTAACATTTCGTTTTCCTTTCAAAAAAAGAAAAAAAAAATTACTTAAAGATGGAACGAAAATTAAGTACTGTACGTCAAATAAACGATGAAACATAAGTTGGACAAGCGTACAAACTTTTAAGGTCAATAACATTATTACACTGCATAAAATTTTTAGAACATGAGGCTTAAACCTTGATAAAGGTGAGCTACCTTCAACACAGCAAATCATTTACCTAGTGAATCTGATGTCAACGTGCATATAAGTTAAAAAATAACTATAAAAGTTTCGATTTTGTTTAATTAATTCAATTTTATGCATTCCTTGATGACTTGACAGATATGGTCTAATATTAAAATTTTTCTCGTCTCATTTGTTTATGCAAAAATTATCCTCGCTGTTCAAATTAGAATGCCATTCAAACCAGAGTTTTTTTTTTTCCTCAATGTTAACAAACAGAATAAATCTAATCTAATCACCAACGTAAGTAATTAATTTTACCTCAGGCATTAATTTCGACGAGATGTCAAATTAATTTTTATGTGCCAATGCCAGGAGCGAGATTTCGAAAGCAAAGTTTTAAAGAATTAGGCCCTAATTTATTTTCGAAATGGTCTATTGATAAATAACATCTGGTGTAATATCTGGAGGGAAATCCGTGTTTTAAATAACAAGACATTACAGGATTTTCTCTCCAGAGAACTCATACGCAGCTGCTCGTTCACATCTTGTTTTTGAATGTATGTGTTGTTATTATATTTGAGACTAATTTTCAAGTATGTTTGTAATAATAGCGATGTTGCGGCTGAAGTTTTCATCTGTAAAACGTGAACGTCGAACGTCGAGCGCCGCTTACAAGAAGCGGCGCTCGACGTTCGACGTTCACGTTTTACAGATGAAAACTTCGGCCGCAACCTCGCTATTAAGAACAAGTAATGGATCAAGAAGTATATGAAAAATAATCTAAACGATTTACACAATTCATTTAAGCAAGTTAAAACACTAAGAATACATGCATATTTTGACTTTTATACATATAGATAAATGTTTTATTATAACCAAAATATATC